TAGAAAAAATCATTTCAGAAGTAGACTAGCAGACAAGCATTTAGCCTCGTTCCTTAAGATAAGCACATCTCACTTCGAACCTCAATATAAGGAACTTTTAAAAATGAAATCGCAATTTCATTCAACTCATTAAATATTTAAATTAAAACTTGTGTATTTTTTTATTATTTTAGAAGTTTTTACTCGGCCCACCAAACTTTTTTTCCCGATTTTTTGCTCTGGACCAAAAAAGTTTTCCCATCCTTGCCTTAGAGTGTCCCACACGTGTTCAATCGGATTAAAATCAGGGGACCTTACCAGCCATTCTATGAGTGCAACCTCTACTAAGCATTCGCATAGCTGTTCCTGTCCTCTGAAATGTGTTCCAAGCTCTGGAAACGATATTGTGGGCTATCCCGAGCACAACCTTCTTCCAATGATTCGACCTCTCGTAAACTTATCCAGATATCGTCTTCTGAATTGTCTGTTGGCCATATCACTCCGTCACAACAAATTCACTTCGTTTAGGCTGATATATACCGTGCAATACCATTCACATAAAAAGTCACGGATCCCAGTAGAACACCGAAGTCAAGCATGACTGACTGTGGTAAGTAAGGGGGTGGGTGTCCACTTCGATCAGCCTGTGAAGGGACCGAGGGTGAGCGAATTTTAACACACCAGTGTATTTTATGACCTTATTATTTTCACAAAATCGCAGACTGTAGGCGTTAATTCATCCTTTTCCTAATGGAACACTTGAAAAAAGTTTAAAATTGCACGAAATACATATGAAGTTATTCGTTGCAAAATTTCTATATTTTTATACATATATTTTTGCAAGAGTAAGCTAAAAGAATGATTTTCTATTTTTCAATTAATATTTATACTCGACTGAGATTTCTGTATTCAAAGAACTGACTTTATTCTTGGAGAGAAAATAGAGAAAGCATTTCTAGGTAAACCGTCGATTTTTGTAGAAAGTCACATTTGAGCCTGGGAAGCATAGGTTTGTTTTTGAGGAAGAGTTTTTGTCACTTGAAAATTATTTAATGTATCATATTATTTAAACAATGGAATTTTTGATTTTTAATAAGGCAAAATCCAAAATATGAGTGATGATTCAAAAATAATGATATATCAGTATAAATAATTTGGATAAACACTTAAACAATCAAAAAATTTGGATTGTTTTATTTTATAAAAACTGTCTTTTCAAGAAATATTTTTGAAGTAGCAATAAGGACACTCTTAATTTAAAATATTCATTAAATGTTTCTTTTTTCACCTTATTCTAAATTGGTACTTAGTGTAAAATATTGAGTTAATTTTATTTGTTTGAATTTACTTCGAATGACTGACTTGTTATCCAAAGATAATTTTATTTTCATCCTTAGGCGGTGTCATTCAAATATAATAATTTTCCATTCAGTTATTTTTAGTTTAATTAATTATACCAATTGGTTAGTAGTAGCAATTGATATTTTTTTAGTAATATGTAACAATATTATTTGTGTATTACCAATAGAATTGTTTTATATTGCGGGGCTCATACGTAAGTCATGATATTCACAAACAAATAGTATATTGGCCTAGACACTGAAACCGAAGTATAAACTCCAAAAGCTCGAAACAGTTTAAGACGTTATTTTGTTATCGGTTTTTATGAAGATTCTTTTTTATGTAAAAGAATCTTTCTTAATTTTGGGCCGACATATATGTTGTCAAAGTTTGTTGCGCCTGTGTTTATTGTGTGCTTAAGTGTTTAAAACCCACCTATTTTGGATATTTTTTACAAGAGAAAATTAATAAATTCTGGAATTACATAAAATTTATTGATTTATTATTGAAACATCAACTGTACATCTAGATATGAATATATACAAAATATTTACAAATAAACATTTATAAGTGCAAAATACAGAAAGGTACACCCTAAATATCTTTTGATCAAATGACTTTTCGCATTTCAAGATGTAGTTCTAAAAGTTCGAGGCATAAAACATACTAATTATAAAGACTGAAACAGGCCCGTTTCTTCTCTTATAAAATAATTTTGTTTTGTTTCGAAAGAAAAGTTTTATTTATTTTTAAATTCTGGAAAATAGGGTACAGACACCACAATCTGGAAAATGGGGTACAAACAACCATTACTATATACTGCGCCATACTTCTAGAACTATGTAAGTGAAAAAAGATTTGTACAAAGTTATCTTTAAGCCAAGATAATTGTATGGAAAAAATATTTTTTTTCATCTATTATTTTTATCACCTAACTTAAAATTGATTGAAAAACATTAAAGCAAACAGAAATTTACATAATTTCAAACAATATAAATTTAAATCATGTAATTTTAAATATTAAAATATAAAAATTAAAAGGAATCGGTTGAATAGTTTTTGAGCTATCAAATTTCGAAAAAATCGTATTTTTAAATTGATATCTCTCGAAAATATTTCGTCCAATTCTGATCAAAATTTGAATGCTGACCTTAAAAAGGATGCAGTTTAAAAATGACGTAAAGAATTTGTTTACGACTCGAAACATTTTCTATCATTATTAAATTAAATAATGATAATGGAATTACTCTCGAATAAGCGAGTGTTATCAGAATATTTGTTTCATTATTCTCTAACGCGTTGTCGCACACTCGGCGATCAATTTTTTTTTCAATTGCTTATCATGAAATTGAGCGTCAATCGTATAAGGGAAAATTATCACAGTTTTTTCATGAAAACGGCCTTCATTAGGACAAAAAATGATTTGGCATGTTACATCTTTATTTTTGAATAAATAAATCTTAGTACACTAATGATGTTTTTAATAATTAAAATACGCAGGGTGTCACAAATACTTTCATGACCAAATTTGATAATTTTCAAGCAAACTAATTTAGCTAAAAGGATTCTGATATTAGATAATGGGTATTTAAAAAAAAAGATATTTTCGTTTGAGACACTTTAAGGCCTACCTAACGCCAAATTTCGGGGTTTTGTTTCTGATTAAACTGATGAGATCATATTGTTCTGACCATGCTTTGAAGGTTCTCTAAATTTCTGACTGGTTTATAACTTATTTGCGAAGAATAATTGCTTGGTAGATTAAGCACGGGACATTTTCATGGGTATTAATTACTCAAGAAAAATAACATATGGTGGTCATATCAATAGGCGTATGTATAATAATTGTTTTTGCTTTAAAATAACAAATCGACATGAATTTAAAGTAGGATTTCATATTAATTAGTGGTAAATAAAATAAGGCAAAAAATTATTTGTCCCGACTTTCTATAAGAAATTTTTTCTTCCTACCCTGATTGTAGATATTCTGAAAAAATCATTTACCCGGTCTCTTCAATTAAGGCATCCATCTTATTGCTTTCGATCTGTTTGCATAAAATTACTTTATTAATTAAGGAAAGCTCCCAATTCTTTAAATTGAGAAATGAAACGCACTATGTTTTTTAAAATAATATTTTACGCTATTTTTAATTGTTATTTATCTTTGATAAGATCATTTAAAATAATTAATGCTGCAACTGATATGTCACCATTTTTATTTGTTAACTCCTTGAATTAATTGGTTGAAATTTGCCGTTAAATCATTAGTCATTTGTGCAATGATTTGTGAAAATAAAAGCAAATTGTAAAGAATGTCCAAAAATTTGAATTTTACACTATTTGTGCTGTAAAATGCTGCCAATGAAATTAACGGTTAAGATACGGTTAAGAGTTAGGAAAACACGAAACATGTTTTTATTTTGGAGTAGTGTTGCCTCTGGTAGTGTAATTTCTCATTTTTGTGATCAGAAGTGGCCTCCCAGATCAAGCGATTTAATGCTGTGTGGCCGACAAGCTTAGTATAGAGCAAACTTTGAAAAATGAAGCTGAGTACTATATCATTGAAATTCAGTCACATATTTATGAAAAACGGTCATTAAAAATATTTACAAAAGCATCTGACTTAAAGACTTTTTCTTTGTTTACCTATAGTCTATTTAATGTATAACCCTATATTGTAAATTTAATGAATTTAAAAAAAGGAAAGAAAAAATTCACAAATTCTTAACTAACCTCCTCTTTACTTTATGTGTGACTTTTGGGGCATTCTGTGAGCGAAATTTTTATTTGTCTCAAAATTAATTAAAATATTTTATTTTCAGATTAAAAGCAAATCAAAATTAAATTATGAATAAAAAGGAAATTTTTGTATAGTAAAAAATTTTCGCCATTAGAGTTTTTCCTAAAAGCTTTTAAATGGTATTCTCTTTCGTGTCTGGATATTCCTTCACATACCGAGTCTGGGCCTAAGTTTGAGACAGGAAGATTTACAATAGGAAGGTTAATTGCGAAGGAGTGATAAGTTGCATTTTTGAAATTTTTATGTTTTAAAAACATGAAAAAGTTATTTAAAAACTTTCGTTTTTGATTAGTTCCAACCAAACTAAAGTTACAAAATATTTACATCTAAAAGTATTTTATTTAGTATGATATTCTATTGATATGACTACATAAAGTTGAAGTAATGAATTTGAAATTCCCTTGGTATTTTCGAATTGATAGTTATGCTTTGCAATAAAAATTTATCTAAGGCCTTCTTATTTTTTCAAATTTCCTGAGAAACACTGCGTAAATTTTGAGAAGAAATTTATTGCTCACATAATTTTTATTATTTGATTTTTACAATCATATTGTTTTTAATTGTACTAAAAATGTAAAACGTTTTTAATTAGATAATTTAAAATGCAAACTATTAAAATAAACGTCTTCTAAAGCAAAATGCTTTTAAGTCTTAAATGGAAGTGAAACCACAACTTTAAGTTATTTTCTTTGCATGCAAGTACATTCGTTTTTCTTTTTTTTTTTTTTTTTAAAATGGAAGCATATTTCATGAAAAATGCTTGAAAAGTAGAGATCTATCATTCAGTTAAGTAGATGTAAACGCAATCAAAAAATCTACTTGAAATAAGAACTTTATTAACAAAAAAAAAAAAAAAATTAATAAAAAATGAAGTTAAAAACTTGCTAGCTTTTAAAAGCCTTTTTTTCCCAAGAAAAAGTTTGCCAGCCATATGCTTGTTATTGTAGCTTTCCCATGAGTTTTAATAAAATAAAATAAACAAAGCAAATGACTTAAAAGAAAATTAAATTTCAAAAAAGTTTGCCGACGTGTTTCCCCTTAAGCAAATAACTTTATGTTTTAAGCTTTACGTGATAAATAGTTGATAAATTTACCCGGAGAGAAAAGAGCTAAAACGTTTTCTACTTCATTTTTATTTATTTATTTATTTTTGACACATGTATGTATAATAAATGACATATGTATGTATATATGATGTGACATATGTATGTATAATAAACGTTGACAATTAAAACTTTTGTTAAACATCACTTCTTTAACAAAAAACATGCAACAGGAAAACTCTGCGGCTTTGTTTATAAAAGAAATTCCGACAGTAGCCTTGTTCACAAATCTGTTGTAGAAAAAAAAAAAAAATGAAATCTCACTAATCGACTTTACAGATACATTTGGCACAAATATATAGACCTTCATTTCATATTGGCTTGATACGTATTTAAAAAGGATTCTCGCCACCCAAACAGTGTCATTTGTGATTGGCATGACAGACAGGATTTGGGATTAAAAGAGGGCACGTTTTCTTTTTTATTCACCGGACTTGGCTGCAATGACCACCCTAGGGATGATGAATTATGTACAGATCAGAGGTCATCAGCAGTCTATCACGCTACCTGGCTCATGCTCAATTGCAAACTCGGATGAGAGCATAGGCAGTAGAGCATTCCACAACCTGGACAAGAAGTTGCTGCCGTCATCGAGGGCATTGAAATTGCTGAAATAAATAAAGAAAATTATAAATAAAAAAAATGCATTTTTAAAAATAAATTTTTCATAAAAATTTGTAAAAATTGCGAATTTTTATAGGTACTCATAATTCTCATTTAAGTGCAAAACTTCACCTCAGAGGCAACTTTATATATATATATATATATATACACCGAAGAGCCATTACNATATATATATATGTAAGCATCGCTAAATAGCCGACCCAATTTTTGGGTTCACGACACGATGTTCAACTCCGTAACCTTGTAATTTTGAACCCAATCCAGAAGACAAGGGAACTCCTGGATAAAGTATTGAGAGAGATTTGCCTGCGTGGAGAATTTTTTTGATGTTACTAACCCGCATTGCGTTACATGAAGAGGAGGACCACGAGAACCTCCTGCGATTAATCTGACGGAAAAGGGACTCTAACTCATGATTCGTCTACCACTGAGGATATTTGACGTCAGCACTGTCGTCGGTAGCGAGCCAGATGCGGAATTCGTATCGATCAGCCATCACTGGGATTCGAACCATGGTCACCTCATTGGAAGGCAAGCGTTCTATCCCCTGATTTAAGCTACTTGTATTTCCTAAACCCTAGATAAGAAGTGGGCGAATAGCAGCCCGCAAACAGTTTTTATTTATTTTTATTGCCGGAGAGAGTTAGAAAATTTCGCCTTGAATATGGGAGTTGTGAAAAAGATATGTGGGGGAACGACAATGTAAACTTTTAACTCTTTGATAAAATCCCATTTTTGCAGGTTTTTTTTTCTTGTTAATTTTATTCTTTTTATGTATTGTAAAATTTGCATGTACAGTAATTTTTAAAAAATTTTAAAAATTGGTTAAAAAGTAAAGTTTTGTGTGGAGTATTACTCCTTATTACTGCTTCACACTAAAACTACTGCTTCATACAAAAGCTAACAGCCGTGGATCTAAAAAAAAAAAAAAAAAAAACTTTTCTTTGAAGCGGCTATATTAAATTAGCACAATAAATAACTTAAATAAAACTGCCACTATTGTATTTAATTGATTTTTACTGATTTTTATGATTACACCTTCTCTTAAATGCCAAGTTAACCACTGAAAGATAACATTCTTGAGGGTGCGGCCCTTCACAAATCACCACTTCCAATAAGTAACCCACACACAAAAACAATTACCTACCTTCATAATTCTATACAGCAATATGGTGCTTAAAATTATGACTTTGCAACGAGTTTAATATGCTTGAAATTTTTTTATTTTCCTTAATGAAAGAGTTTTAAAAAAAATAAAAGACTCAAATCATAATTTTTTGCTTTTTTCCAAATATAGTTTGAAATTTTTGATGAAACATTTTTTAACCCAACAAAACACTACAGATTTTCATTTATAAGAAAACAAAAACAGGATTATTTTATTTTATATGGGGGAGTTACTCAGTTTTTTGTAAAATACATAACTCCTTTGATTTTTAGATATCATATTTTCCTAACAGTGCTTTTTGATGCTATTTCGATCGGAAAATAAAAAAGTCATACTTCAAATGCCTTAGGCTTGAGAAAAAGCTATAAATTTAAATTATTATTTAAATTATATCAAATTGCTAATTTGGTGGTGAAATTTTGAGTAATGCTGAATCCATAATTTTTTGAGTAATGCTGAATATTAATCCTGATGAGTAAATTTTTGAACCAAAATTTAATCCAATAAATAATAAATAAAATCCAATAGTATTTTCATTTGAAAACAACAAATAAATTAGTGATTACGTGAAAACATCTGTTTTGAAGGTTAAAACAGACCACCGCTCCTTCTATTTAATCAAGGTTTTCATCTCTCTACCTATTTAATTCAGGTTTTAAAATTTTTGGCTGCTTTATGTGGTCTGATAAGTATCTCCTAGAATGTCCCCGAAATACCAACAGAACAGAATTTATTTTTGTTGAGTTTAACAAAATAACAAAAANTATAAGAAACAATTTAAAAATATATGGGGGAGTTACTTAGTTTTCTGTAAAATACATAACTCCTTTGATTTTCAGATATCATATTTTCCTAACAGTGTTTTTTGATGCTTTTTCGATCGGAAAATAAAAAAAGTCATACTTTAAATGCCTTAAGCTTGAGAAAAAGCTATAAATTTAAATTATATACATATCATCTTGATGTAAAAAATTATCCAGAGTTTAAAACGCTCCTTAAATATTTTAAAAAATATTAAATTTTTTATTTTAAATTGTTAATTTGGTGGTGAAATTTTGAGTAATGTTGAGCATTAATCCTGCTGATGAGTAAATTTTTGAACCAAAATTTAATCCAATAAATAATAAATAAAATCCAATAGTATTTTCATTTGAAAACAACAAATAAATTAGTGATTACGTGAAAACATCTGTTTTGAAGGTTAAAACAGACCACCGCTCCTTCTATTTAATCAAGGTTTTCATCTCTCTACCTATTTAATTCAGGTTTTAAAATTTTTGGCTGCTTTATGTGGTCTGATAAGTATCTCCTAGAATGTCCCCGAAATACCAACAGAACAGAATTTATTTTTGTTGAGTTTAACAAAATAAAAAAAAAGTATGTGCTTGTAGTAGAAAATGAATTGTGTTAATAATATTCGCATATAAAATATGAAAAGGGAAATATTGAACGTAGTCATTTTATTTTATTTTATAACCGTCGTTGAAAAGCCGACCTAATTTTGGGTTTACGATTACTAATGTTCAACTCTGTAGCCTCGTGATTTTGAACCAATCCAGAAGACAAGGAAACTCCTTGATCAGTACCCCCAGATGTATAATTTGTTATAAGAACATGGAGGACTTTGAGACTCGACAGATTTAACATGCATTAGTCACCATTTACTACACAGGTAGTCTTCGGACTGCGGGGATCAAACCCACGACCTCTTGGACATGAGTCCAGTGCCCTACCATCCAGGCTATCCTGGCCCCTGAATGTAGTCATTGAATAATCTCGAGTATTGAGCTGTGGTGTCTCAAAGGATAGAGCGCTCCCTTCCCAATGAGGTGACCTGGGTTCGATCCCAGCGATAGCTGCTCGATTTGAATTCCGCACCCGGCTCGCACCGACCACTGTGCTGACGTAAAATATCCTCAGTGGTAGATGGATCAAGGGTTAGAGTCTCCTTCCTATTAGGCTAACCGTGGAAGGTTTTCGGGGTTTTCCTCTTCGTGTAACGCAAATGTAGGTTAGTTTCATCAAAAAGTCCTCCATGAAGGCAAATTTCTCCCAATACTTGATCCAGGAGTTCCCTTGTCTTCTGGATTGGGTTCAAAATTACAAGGCTACGGAGTTGAACATTAGTAGTCGTAAACCCAAAATTGGGGCGACGACGGTTTTAAGAAATAATATAAAATAAAATGCCGAGTATTGAAAAGTTAAAATAACGCTTGATGCCTACCATTTGCTTTCTTGGCTTGGTTGTTGAGATATTTCTTCTGCCTGGCTCTCGAATTTTGGAACCAAACTTGTGTGACACGTTTGCTGAGACCTGTAATCTGAGCTATTCTTTCTAAATCCTGACCATCTGGATTGGAGTCAAGGTTGAAATTGGCTTGAAGAACTTGAAGCTGTTCCTCTGTGAAAGTGGTACGGACTCTTTTCGTTTTGGCTTTCTGTTGATGTTCACTATCTGTGTTTTCTAAAAAGTAAATACTAATTTTAATACTGCGTAACTTTGCCATCTTGTTTTAAAAAAGTGCTTTGGATAAATGTAGTAACCATTAAGTGGGCTTGTAAAAAGTAGGGGATTTATCTAGTAATATTCAGCAATTTATTTTTGTATGCTTGCAATCTTGGTCATAAGACATTTCGAGGCATTTTGGAATGAATTTTAAATTTTTCATTTTGGGATTAAATGTGTGGCATTTCTTGAAAATGTCTCCACATGCAGTTGGTAAAATTATTTTTACTATGCATTCTAGAGATTCTTGCCTTTTTCTCCTTTTCAAATTTCCCCTGATGTAAAATTTTGGCGATTCATTGCTAATAAAATATTAGAAATTGTAACCAATGTCCTTATTCAACGAAAATCTGGTTCATTTTTGAAAATCTTCTTCTCTCTCTTTATCTTTCTCTCTCTCTCTTCTGGATTACACTTTACTAGTGACTTTACTAAATGATTACACTTTACTAAATGACTGATCCAACATGACTGATCTATTTATGTGTTGTTGATTAATTCACCACATCTGTCTGTATAAGTATGTTTTACTATGTCAACTCAGGTGGAGCAACAACAGGTGGAGCAATTCGACCTGGGGGGGGGGAACAAACTTATGGATTCTTCCTACTAATTGATGAAAAAATACTTAACTGTGATTCTTACCTTAATCAATTTTATACTGGCCACGGAGTGTTTGGTGAACATCAAGCAAAACTACTTAGCAAATCAGTCACTTGTAAATATTGCTGAAGAACTCAGACTATTACTCACCTTATTATTGAATGTGAAAAATTCTCAACACTCCGTGGAAATGCTTTTAATAAACAGGGAACCATGGAGTCATGGTGTAAAATCAAAAAACATAAAAATATTATCAAATCTATTATTTAACGAATATTGGAGATTCAGATGGCACCAGATGACTTCATGGAACCCTTATACACTATAACATAATTTCTTACCTTGTCTCCTCCTGGTACGCTCCACAGCTAACTTATTAATTTTAGCTACTTACCTTTTCTATTTTTTGGACAATGTCATGTCATTTTATACTCGTTTTTATAATTTGTTTTGGTATTTTAATTATTCAAGTCTTTTGTTTGGTTTCAGCTGATTTATTTTACCTACTGATTGATTTAACTATTTACTCTTTAATTATTTTAGTGTTTTTTAGGCTATTGCTCAGTTTTGACTAATTTGCTAATTTTGGCCACTTACCTTTCAACTACCTTTGCGTTTTTACCTTATCCTTATTTATAATGTTGTTTTATAGTTGCTTTTAACTACTGTATTGGTATTTTATTTACTCAGGACTTTGCTTGGTATTAGTTGTAATCTCATGTATAGATATTACTTGCATGGATATTAACGTTATATTGATTTTAATTGATTTTGAGCTTGAAATAGACTATATATTGTACATTTGGCTCACTATAAGGAGACGCTCCATCTGCATTATAAGATGGGAGGCTCTGGAGCAATTGTTCTTTTTACCATTTTTCTTTTATTCTGTTGCCATCTTGATTTTGTGAACTTTTGTAAAGATTTTATATTTTAATAAATGCTACGGGTGAGGCCTATCCGATCTGGTCAATTGGCTGAGCTGATGTGCCTTGTGTTAGGGTCGCTGTTCTCTTGTGGGGGCTGTTGCGACTGCTAGTGGACCTTTCCGTATACCCAAAAGAGGGTGGGGCTGTCCATTTTTCCTAACTATGTCTGCTCTCTAATTTTAATTGTTTGTCAACTCTCTCTCTCTCTCTGAAACTAATTTTAGTCGCTCGTATTATACACTTACTAAGATTTATACCCTAACAAACAATGAGGATTTAATCCAATAGTAGCACCGTTCTATTTCATATTCTCTACTATCAGGGTAAGACCGGATACCCCCTTCATATCTGTCTATACTGGGCCCACGAAAACTGCAATCCAGAGGACGGCAACTGAATCCAAGGATGAACAAAGGTTTCACTGACCCCGGGACAAAATTCATTACGGAACACTTCTTCAAAGCACAAAAAACCTATTTTCATATTTTGTGGAATTTTTGAAGACCATTTATAGAAAATCGTAGTTTTTGTGTAGATATAAAGAAATTCTCTGCAATTTTCTTAAAAGGAAGGGAAGAAAACTAATTAAGAAGCATTTAATTTTTTGTAAGAAATTTTGTTCGCGTCCTCAGCAGTCCCAAACCACAATACAACTGTCCCTCTTTCTCCCCTCCTTGATCACGGCCTTGACTACATCACAAGTAAATACTACAAAAATAAATAGTTCATTAATGAATTTTCAGGAATTATATATTTTAAACAATGAATTTCTTCATTAAATCTGACAGTTGAGGCCTTTGAGTATATATAATATTTTTTTAGTGACCACGCTAAGAATTTTTAATACGGAGCAAAAAGCTTACTTGATATATTAAAACATGCTGAATGGTGCTTGACAATCAATTAAGTTACGAAATCAATCACCTATCAATTAAGTTACGAAACCAGACATAAAAACGCACCTTCATTTAATAAATATACAATTCCTTATTTTTGTTGTGCGAATAGATGAATTAATTATCTGGGAAAACTCCTTTAACATAAAAGGTAGAAAAACGCCTAGATAAAAAATAAGCTGTTAATAATGCTGAAATTAGAATCTCTACCAACATTCATATACCAACTGAATTTATTATATTCAGTGTATAAAGGTTTACATTGCAATATTGTATTGCAAGCTTTATTGTAAAAAAGAAATGCTGGAATTAGTTTAAAAAATATCTATGGTCGATTTTAATAAAATTTTTTTTTTTGTTAATTGATTGTTTAAACCAATTATTTCGTTCGGTTAAATGACTGAATTCAGTTTTTAAAGGCATAAAAATAAGAGTGGTTTTGTCTGTTTTAAATGGGCGTCAGATTTTGATTTTAAAATGAAACACATTTTTGTTAAGTTTTTGTAAATTTTTCTTTACACTATTTTTGTAGAATTTGAAGGAGCTGAAACAATATAGTGATGTGCCAAAATAACGCTTTGCATCACATTGTTCTTAGTATTATTTCCCGAGAGGTGCTTTCAAATTTCTAGATTTTCCGCAAAATCAAAGCACAATTCACAAAAACATCTTGCCTTCTGTAAAATCGTAGTATTATAACTAAAACCGCTATTCTGAACAATTCGAAAATGTTTGTTATCATTATATTGTCTCAAGTATACTTATTAAGGTATCCTGTAGTATCTCCGGTAAGTATCCGGTAGTATGCTTAAGTATTTAATACTTAAAATTAACTATCCCTTATATATCCTTAAAATCATAATATAACAACAACATAACTTATCGATCTTAAGGGTCTCTTAAGGGTAAAACATAAAATTACTAGTACTCTTTTCCTTTTTAGAATCAGTTATTGTTACATATTTGTAATCCTAGGTTAATATTTTTCTTCTTTTTAATGAGGAACAAATAACAAGTTTTGAAAACAGTTTGGTGAAATTTTTATTTAAAGGAAGCTCTTAAATAACTGAAAAAATCTAGGTGAAAAGAATAATAGAAGGTTTACAATGTTGATTAATAGAAAAGGAAAAAAGAATAATAGAAGGTTTACAAAGTCGATTAATAGAAGAGGAAAAAAGAGAGATTGAAGGTTTCCAAGATCGATTAATGGAAAAGGAAAAAAGAGTGATAGTAGGTTTACAAGGTCGATTAATAGATGAGGAGAACAGGGTGATAATAGGTTTACAAAAACGATTAAAATTCTTCTGCAACTGAAACAAATTCGATCGAACTACTGATTGGGCCTCCCTGGCCGAGCGGTATCGCCCGCCAAAAGCTCTGTTGAGGGTGGAGATGGCGAGTTCGAATCCCGCCGTAACCCTGGATGTATTCTTTGTGATGTCCTTCTCTGTATTGTGCTATCTGTCCTTCTACTTGACAAAGGTTTATAAGTCTTAATTGAGCACACAAGCCTTCAAATGTATGTTGTGTCAATAAATCGAACTACTGATTTATTCAAGAAAATGTCTGTTTCCTGATTCATTTGTAATGTTACGAACGTCTCTTATCACGTGACCAGCACGATAGTTTGATTTCGAAAGCTAAGTTCGATTGTTCGAATTACTTAATAACATTTATAAAGTAATTTCCGGATGGAAATTCAAAACTATGATTCGATCTTCATCAGTAGTATTAATTACCATTTTTTACTTGGTAGTTGAAATTATATTACCTCAATACAGTTCTTGATGCGCACTTACGTTTTCCAATCTGGTTAGATGTATGTGTTTTTTCATGCATTAGTATTTTAAAATTGTAAAAATATAAGAAATTACAAATTGTTATAGAAGATGAATGTTAAAATAATCTTTTAACATAATTTAAAATACGTTATCAAAAAAACTTAAAACGTTTAATAATGAGAATCTTAAAAGTGAAAACTCATTATCATTGTGTCCAAAATTGTTTAAAATAATTACATCAAACTAACAATTCAGTTCTATTTTTTAAAAAAAATTTAGTAATACTTTAAATATTTTAAGAGTTGAAATTCTATTATTATTTTAAGAGTACAGACACAAATATAGAAGATAAGAGCAAAACTTTGCGAACAGACGATAATTTGAAAGTCAAAAATTTTCTCTTTACTCGCCGTTAAGAAAACACGCATGGATTTTTTCATTGGCAGAGAAAGAATAAAAAACACTCGAAATAGATAAGTTTCTACGACATCTTATAGTAATCTAATGTTACTGTAGAAACCGGTCATCATCTCGAATAGCAATCGAACTGGTGTGAAGAAATTGAATCGCAGAAGCGTCTTTCAGTTGGATATAATAGAAGAGGGGAAAAAATAAGGTCGAAAGAGAAGAGAGTTGAGAATTAGCTCTTTTGAGTGTCATACAGCTGATTTAACAACAAGAGGAACTCTAAAAGCACAAAATTATTTTTTTATTATGAACACAAAATAATTTTCTTTAAATTTTTCTTTAAATTTTTCTTTAAACAATCTAGGAAATGATTTTTTTTTATCTATTTATGCGCAAGAATCGAAAAGTGATACCGAAATTGGCTATAAACCCACTAATATTCTGAATTTACGTGACATTTTTCTTTCATTTCTTTTACAAATTAATGCCTAGATTCAAATTATTGTATACTTGAAAACGTCCTATTTTCATTTCTGTTCATTCTGCGTTGATTCAACTATTAATATTTATATTATTAATAAATATATGTGTGACTGACAGTTTCTGTAATATAAATCCTTTTTAAAAAAAGACACTTGTTATACCATTTTTTTTTCTGAAATAAGAATCGTTCTTTTAAAAGGCACAAATGGATGGCCTACAGTATTTATTAGAAGACAGTATATATGAATTTTATTTTAAACGCATGTTTTATTTTTGTAATTTGAAATAATTTTTGTAATTTGAAAACTTCATTTATAAATATATTTATCTGTTCAGCTTTACTGTATATTTTGCGACAGTTGAATTAAATAATTTTCTCGTTTTGAACCGATTATTTTCAAGTCTTTTTTTTTTTTTCTTCTCATGGGAATAAAAATTTGCTTGATTAATGAAAACCATCTTAAGTATATTTAAAGACATTAAATTAGTCAATTAGTCGAATTCTTGAAGTATTTTGACAATTAAAAGACTAATTCTTATAAAAATATTTCTAAAATGAAGTATACACTCAGCTTTTAAAATAAAATTTAGAAATACTGAATACAGAATAATAAAATATGTTTCATTTGACAGTTTTTTTTTCCTGCTATAGAAAACTTCACCTAGTTCTTTGTAAGTGATTATGCTAAAGCATCTGAATTCGGAAAGAAATTTGTTTTTTATAACTGACTCTTTTAGGGAAGTGTGCTTACGCTTTTGGCAAAATCTTACCAAAGCAAAAGATGATATTTCGGCTTCTATTATGAAACGATGATTTTTGAAAAACTACGAAAATGGTCGGTGTTTTTTACCAAGTAACGATGTTTTCTACCAATACTTTTTTTTATTTTGACAGTTTTTTTCCCTGCTATAGAAAACTAAGTAAGTGATTGTAAGTGAGTGTAAGTTGTAAGTGATTGCTAAAGCATCTGAATTTTTAAAGAGAAAAATTGTTTCTGACTGTTTTAATGAAGTCTGCTTACTCTCTTGGAAATATCTGACCAAAGCAAAAGTGGCTATTTCCTACTCCTTTTATGAAGCGACGATTTTGGAAAACTAAGAAGGTGGTCTGTGTTTTTTATCAAGTAAAGATGGAAAATATCTGCCCTAGCAGCAAAGTAACTTTGGCCCTCAATGGACCAATATTCACGAATCTTGGCTTACTAAGTGTTCAAAAGGCAATTATTTTCCGATATTGGTCCTATATAGAATTGTCCGATTCACCCAATATTTTACAGCTATTATACAACCAGTATCTGCCCTACATAGAGCTTTCAGATTTAGATTCATTATTCAAGCAATATAGGCCCTATATTAGCCGTATATAGGCCAATTTGGCCCTACATAGGATCAATATTAAAAAATCTAGACATCCCAACATTGGTTCCTCGGTGGATGTTCAAGTAGGATGCATATTGAGCCCATATGGGGCCTAGGTAAAATTGTTGCTGGGGTATCGTAAAAAATTTTATAAATAAAATTTGTTATTCCTTTGACTTGTCTTTCAGAGAAGGTATTAACTAGAATATTGAGAACCACTTTACTCACACTAGAGTGTTAAAAAAGTAAGTTATTAACCCACCTACCGTCATTGGATCCATTCCCACCATCAATGCATTCATAAAAATGGGTCTTGCAAAGTACTCTACTATCGTGCAGGGCAAATTCTTCCCCCGTAGACAGTTGTCTTTTGCAAGAATCACAAGCAAAACATGCTAGATGATAAACTTGCTCTCTAGCTCTTCTCACCCAATCAGATGCATGAATTGTTCGAGAACATTTTGCACATTTAGTACCAAAAAGCCTACAAAAGAAAAGAAAATATGTTAATGCATCATAAAATGCTATTTCAGTTTACAAAAATTTGCTTTGTCCTGTAGTATGCATAAAAGAAAGTTCAAGTAAGTGATCACAATTAGGCCTAAAAATTGATTTCTTTTCTCATTATTTTACAAAAATTTACTTTATCATGTAGTAAATAAAAGAAGGTTTAAATGATTAGGCGTTAGTTAATATAGTTCGTTAAAAGAAAGTTAAATGATTTCTTTTCTCATTATTTTACGAAATTTACTTTGTCGTATAGTAAGTAAAAGAAAGTTTAAATAAGTGATCATTATTAGGCCTAAAAATTAATTTCTTTTTTCATTATTTTGCGAAAATTAATTCTTCGACAAAGCAATAAAGTGCAATACGGCTGATTTCAATAAAAAAAAAAACTTTCTGATATCATTCTTTCGCAGTGACGCCATTTTTTCAATTTCATGATTACTTCTTACTTGTTCAACAGTAATTTAAGATGATATTTTGCTACGTGTCCTGATTATTGATCAAAGTTTTTTACATGAACAAAATTATTTTGCATTTTAAAATGAGTAAACAGCAGATCAAGATGTGATGAAAAGTTTCTTGCTTAGCCATACCCTCAAATATTAGGGGCTTGAGCAAAAAAAAAAAAATTTCTCGTGATTTAAGCAAAAATTTTTAATAGATTACTATTTAAATCATTGATATATATTGTCGAATAAAATCTTTTGATTATATTTATAAAGTTATTAATCATTCACACATGTTAATTTTCCCATATATTTAAAGTGGTAGCAGAAATTATATTTTAACATTTGAATTAAAAAGATTTCGACTTTCATAACATATCCAAAACTATACAGGACTGTAAGTCCGTATATATCAAGACGGAAAAGAGTAAAAACTGGTAACAGATAAATTTTATTTTTAGCTTTTTTTCGAGAATAATAAAATATCCATAACTACCAAATTTTTTTAATGGATACAATTTATATATTGAATTGATTCTTCCCGGAGAAAAAATTAATAGCAGTGAATTCTTTATTGTTTAAGAATTCAGTTATTCCTCCCGAAAATTATCTATTATTGAAATAGTTCTACTACTAGCTTTTTCTCTTTTCCATCTCGCTTTCAGGCTTGAAACTATATAAAAAATTAAAAGATGTATGTTGGAAGTAGTATTTTCTTTAGGAGAGGTATTTCTTTCAAGGTATTTTCCTGTTCAAATTTCCTTCATAACATTTATTTATGGTGGTAGTCATGATTGACTACTATTAGTGAAATTCTACCATATCACACTTTTCTCGATTTCTAAAATTTAAGTCCACAGAACAGATCAAGCGACAGTAAAAATGCTCTCATAGAATTGCTTCAACATCACTTAAGCATTTATGGAAAAGTGGTAATAAAATAAACACAATTGAAAAAAACTATCAGCCTTCATTAATACATATTGATTGCATTGTAAGGACGCTGTTCTCATTAAATAACTAATTAAAAGTAGTAAAAATAACCGAACATAAATATTTAAATTACGATAGATAGTACTCTTAAACAAATGTTTATTTTGCTTCTTATTCTATGAAGCAGTTTTCTAAATAACAGTTATAAATTATTTCAAGCCATCAACGTCTTTTGGCGGTATCTAAACAATGTGGCCAGAACCGGGAAAATTGAAAATTTTAATTTTATGAAGCAGCTTTATAAATAACAGTTGTAAATTATTTGAAGTCATCAACGTCTTTTGGCCGTATTTAAACAATGTGGCCACACCAGGGAAAATTTTAATTAGTGGTGCAGAAAGAACAAATTTTCTTTTATTCATTTTATATTCATTTTATTTTTATTCATTTTAATTTTAATTTATTCACATATTAAAGAATCTATTATTATGTATATTTTATTATATATATTTTATTATATATATTTTATTACATATATTTTATTATATATACTTTATTTAATCACATATTAAATTAAAGCATCTAGATGTTAAAACGGATCAACACAATTCTGAAAATTAAAGTGAACCATTTCATGAAACATTTAAATTTTTTCCAGGTGTCACCACTCAGTTTGCAATAATAATTAGTTCATTAACAATAGTTATCATCAGTTACAGTAATAATTAGTTAATTTTTTTCAATTGTTTTTTTCCAATAACTTTCATAAATTGGATATTGTACCCTAGAATGGGTAAAATAAACTAATTGTTAACTTTAAAGTGAGAAACTTTACCTCTAAAAATACCACCCATAAATATTTATGCCTAAATATAAACAAATTAAGTTATGATATTCAGTTTAAAAACACACTAACGATGTAAGTGTAGATATTTTTTGACTCACTTAGCTGCATTAAACTAGTATTTTGTTGGAGAGTTAGTTTCATGGTTTGAACAAAAGATTTTTTCTAGTTGTGGCAAAACTCATATACTATAATTTGACCTTTGCTTTAATAAATTTGATTTGAAATTAATTTATTCGAAGAAATAATTCAAAAGTTTAAATATGGTGTTTGCCGGTAAATAAAATCTGTTAAATTCAATTTAATACCGTCCACAAAACTGAAGAAAGAAAACTGTTACATTACTTTATAGTTTTATGAGAAAGTGCATATTAATACTATTTAAAATTAGACTTTCTTAGAATACAGGATTTTATAAAACCCTTTTCTAACTGTTTTCTTGATGTTTGCAGTGCAATGCATGAAAAGGGGACTGACAGAAAAAGGTAAGAAGAAAAGAAAAGAAGGATCGATGACAAGTCAGCTTCATCAGAGAATAAGTTGTCGCTCGACTGAACAGCATTGGGAGATCCAAAAGCCACGGCGATTGCATTATGCCCCGCGAGCAGCCTAAACTCAATTTCCGTGCGAGTCGGTACCGACACAAAGAGCAGGGGCGCGCAGCTCTTCAACTACAACGCTCGTTAGCTAGGCCCGGGGCTGTTTGAAAACCCACAGGTGCGCCCAGGCAAGAATCCCCCTAATCCGATTGTTTCGTGGCCCGACGACCGGCTTCCACAATTAAGGATTCACTCTCATCGGTTCTCCGGCCCTTAATTGTTTGCCCGGAAAATACTCCTGAAACGTTCCTGTTTCAGATCCTCTTTTTTTTTTGTTTTTCCCTTTTCCTTGTTTTATTTAATTCCCTTCGAATTTTCAGTTGTCGAATTTTTATTGCTCTTTCTTTTCCCTTTTTTTCGTGTTTTTTTTCCTTCTTTTTATAGTTTGGAAAAAGCACAAAAAATGCTACTTGTGTTTCTTCAACCGTGCACCCTTTTGCATCGGTTGTTTGTTTGTGGAATTTTATCTGCTTCCCCATCAAAGAATTTCTGTTTGTGTTGCGGAGAGACAGTAAAACAAACAAAAGGAGACTTCTTTACTAGCAAAGATAAAGCGAAATATGATTTATTTTTGTTTAATAAAACTTTTAATTTCAATACAGAGATAAGAAAAGTTACTAGCAAAAAATTTAATTATAATTAAAAAATTTGATTTAATGAAACTGTAAAGTTTAATCTTTCAGAATTTTCCTCCTTTAATTTTAAAACAAAAGATAAAAGAATAAGAATAAAAAAAAATTTCAAAGATTGTCTTAGATTTGGTTTAATAAATTTAATATAAATTTTAACAACTCAAATGTCCGACATGCAAACTGATTTTATTTTTTGACTGTGCTTTTCGGTATTGCAACTTTATTTTCCTTCCTAACCATAATAAGTTTATCTTAATAAATTAAGAAAATTTTATTTAAAAGATTTAATGAATTTAAGGCAAAATTTAATAGTTCGTGAACCGATTTTATTTATTTTTTCTTTCGCAACTTGTTTAATAAGTTCCGATAATAAATTATAACATGTTTAATAAATGTACCTATTGCTGAAATAAATAGGAGATAATAGTTGGCAGCTATGACTATATTAATTCAAAACTCTACCTCCACTCAATATAAGATTATTCTCACTTTATTTACATTTTATTTCCCTGGCAAAATTTTGATTTCATAATTTCAAAATATGGTCTCAGTAATTAAGTCAGTTTCGCCAACCATTCTCTTGAAAAAATTCAGATATTTCTTACCCCCCCCTCCCCCCCGCCTGATGAAAATCATTTTCCGAAAGATATATTCATAGAAAAAAATGATTTTTAAATACCATTTATTATTATTTTATTTAATAAAGGCCAAATAAATTTAAATAGTAAGGCACATAAGTTTTTTCTATTATTTTAAACTGTGAAATTTTATTTGACAATGTACAAAATTTGAATCAAACAATTTCTGAGTTACAAAATTTAATATTTATTATTTTCTTCATAGATTAAGTTTTATTTTTTCATATGTTTAAATTTTCATTTCTCAAAAACTCTTTAACTGATTTCCTTCAAAGTTAAATTTTAAGCAAATAATCCATATAATTTAGTTTGCGAAATTCGAACACGAGAATCTTAATTTTGCAAAATAAATGTTAAGAATGAAAATTAAGTAATAACTCTTAATTAAGTAATTACTCTTTCTCTTTTACTCTTCTTAGTAAAATAATTAAGTAATTACTCTTTCTGGAAAATATTCCCAAAACGGGACGACTAATGGGTTAACCAAAAGACTATAACGCTATTATTTTATAGTGGTAGACATTAAAGGAGTTTTTTGGAAATTCTGTTAACAATTCTCCCCACAAGAGAGCTGGATCAAAGTAGAATACTTTACATACAGGGCTGCTAACTTTCTACGCTTTTTGGGTATACATTTTTTTTCTAGTTTTAGCAAATTTTATGATTTAATACCTTGTTTCGTAAATTTTATTTAAACACTATTACTTGTGAATGATTCATATAAAAAGCGCTTTCTTCCAGTTCTTTTGTGTTATTAAAATGTTGGCAAAACGATCTGATAGCTGTAGTTTTTTATTGCCTTCCGCTTTATGAAATATTTTGAAAAAGTGTAGAAGTTGGCAGTCCTTTATATGTTGTGGTGTAAAAAATAACTACAAATTTAATCTTTTTTTAAAAAAAGACAAAACATTAAAGCATACCACTGCAAGAAATTTTCCCAGAAAAACTTAGAAAGTTCGCAGGATTGTGCATGATTATCATTAATGGCAACCCGAAAGTCCTGGCTACTCACAATGATTAGAGTGGATTGGAAATAACAATTAAAGTAAGCTTAACTTATGTAATTTTGCGAGCATCCCTGCTCAATTGTCAGGTCTTCTATATTTGTTTAAATTGTTTGTACTTAGTAATTAAAAAATTCAAATTTAAAATATTAAAAATAAAGAGAGAGTCATTTAATATGAATCGTGTAGTAGTGTTAAAAATATAAAGAATGTTACATAATAACTACTAGAAAAAAAGCGTAGAAATGGTGCAGAAATTCCCCCTTTCCCACTATAAAGCCTCCTTTGCGAAATCACTGATAGAAACAGCTCTCCTCTATTTGACCAGTTTAAATTATAGACAGACAAATTTCTTAATTTAAATGCTTTTTAAACAGTAGAAAAACTTTTTTTCTTATTAGTTGGAGCATTATCAAAGATAGTGTAGAAAGATAGAATATGCTTAACAAAATAATAATGATGATAATTATTTTAATGATATTTAAAATCCTAATAACAGATTCATAGCACGGTTAATAAGTCAAATTTCTTTGGGCCATTCTATTGTTTCATCTTTTGTAACAGCTTGAAACAACACATATCACGAAAACTAAATGTGATATTTATGAAAGATAAATTGAGGATTAATTCCAGAAAGACAAGTCAAAATTTAATATAGACAAAAATCAAATGAAGAGAAGATATTTATTAGCAATAATTTTGACAGTAGCTGCTTAGTTCAATAAAAGATCAAAAGTTTTAATCTATAAGCAAACTTCAGCAGTGGAAATAGTTTTATTGATTAAAAATGTACAAAATATGTTATAAAAACAAGTACAAAATATATTTGTAGTATATTACAGAGTTGAGCAAATGATTTTCTAATGTTAAAAGAAACAGTTTAAAGAAATAAATTTCATGCTCACGTCATGTTCTGGTTCTTCTTTCTTTCAACCTAAACAAAAATAAATTAATGTTAAAATATAAGATTTGAAACTAATATCATAATTTTATAATTTTATAACCGTCGTTGAACAGCCGATCCAATTTTATGGGTTTATGACTACTAATGTTCAACTCCGTAGCCTTGTAATTTTGAACCCAATCCAGAAGACAAGGGAACTCCTGGATCAAGTATTGGGAGAAATTTGCCATTGTGGAGGTCTTTTTTGATGGAACTAACCCGCATTTGCTTTACATGGAGAGGAAGACTCCGGGAATCTCCCACGGTTAGCCTGACGGAAAGGGGACTCTAAATCATGATCCGTCTACCACTGATGATATTTCACGTCAGCACTGTGGTCGGTGCCAACCGGATGCCGGATCGACCAGCCATCTCCGGGATTCGAACCCGGATCACCTCATTGGAAGGCGAACGCTCTATCTCCTGTAGTTGCAATGTCTTTTCGCATTATGGTGGGAAAAAATTTATCCAAAGTGATAACAATAAGGCATGTAACATATTGCTTTGTAAATGATACTATAAAAATTCTGTTTTTCTAGGCCTCTAAGGTCGTATCTTAAAAAAAAAAAAAAAAAGAAAGAAAGAAAGTAAAGAACTTGAAAGTAAATTTACTGCCCCTACTAAATGGGAGTTCTGCATTTAGTGGCTATTGAAGAAACGAATTACTAGATTACCTAAATACATTTGTAAATTTATGAACGGAGTTGATAAAATTGATATGAAAATAAAGCCTTCCAAATTTAAAAAAGCTTTATAAAACAACACGTTGTTAAAATTTTCTTGATTGCGGCAAACCTACTCATAATCAAAAAATTGCTAATTTATTCTAATTTTTACTATTATTTTTTCAATTTTATTTTTTTCCCTCACAGTTAAGTCTTCAATTACTTAAGCTGAGGTGCCAAATTTCTCCGTTTTCTCTAGTGGTTGGAAAATTCAATGTTTGATTTTTGCTCTGATTTTTATGCAGAAATATCTTAATATATAACAACTATATATAACCACTAATAAATAACCACTAATATATAACCACTGATAAATAACCACTGTGCATAAATATCTTAAAAGAAAATTTCATTTTATTTGTTTTGAACCTATTAAAAAGTTGTTGCATAACATTGCAAATAATTCTTGAAAATATTTTTTGAGACTTCTCTGGACTTCATGAGCAAGTAATCTAAACAGAAAAAATGCACCAATTTCTTAACACAAAAATATTGCAAACCACTAAAACCTTTTACTTCTAAAAATTTAATATATATATATATATATATATATATACTGCAATTCCCGGTATTTTGCGAACTAGTTCTGCATTTAATCAGGCTTACTATATTAGGATCCCAGAAATGAACAGTTTTGATTTAAAGTGTTCTGGTAAGAAAATAGTAAATTTTTATGCACTTAAACAATTAATGCTGAACTACAAATATTGCAATGAAGTGAAAGGGGACTTTCCACTTAACTTCCACTACGTTGACTTGAGCTATATCAATATTATTATCATATGGTCAACAAAATTCTTCTGCAAAATGATAACTGCTTTTAATTAAATATTTTGCTTTCACTTTTTGAAACCATTTCTTAAAAGTTCATAAACTAAGACTTAAAAATGTATTATTTTTTACAAAGCTTAAAGCAATCTATGAGTTTTTCCCACATTCTACAAACTTTGAAAATCTAAGTAAAATGCAATCATGATTTAAAAAATGGAGTTACTTTATTTTTGCTATACATTAAATTAAGAACTTCAAACTAAACGTAAGCAGTTTCATACGCTTGGGGCTTCAACTCTACTGTGTAGCTAGTTAATTCAATAAATGTTATATGCCGAATAGTTTCTGGTAAAAGTTCCATTATTCTTCAAACAGCTACTGATTGTTCTGGAAAATTTTCAATTTAAATTTGCTGTGTTTATTATGGTTCGAATATTCTCAGAAGCTTTCTTCATATCAGTGATGATTGTGAAAACCAACAGTCAAACATAGTTTAGAGCAAGATGGAAACAACATCAACAAACTCAGAAACTCTAAACTCTCAATATTGAACTCTAAAGAACTTTTGATATTTATTTTATAAACTATATAAACCATTTTTCAATAGATTGATTAATAGATTCAAAATATTCTTATTGTTATCATAATTTCAACCCTCAGCTTTTAATTTATCGAGCAAAGTGCTTGACCTTTTTTGTATAGCTACCCCAATGTTGCTAAATTCATAGTGTTTTACCTCAATGTTTTTAAATTTCATGATGCATGGGATAGGGGCCGCTACGTGGCCCAGGTGCCCAGTTTTTCTAAATAAAGCAAAGGAAGCTTTCTTCAAAAAGAGCCCAATTTCTTGAAATCCATCTTAAAGAAGTGTTGCCACGGCAGCTAAAAATGTAAAAAGTGGTGTCTAATAAAATTCAAAATTTTGTTTTAAAAGAAAAAAATTGGCATTTTTTTAAGTTTACTATTGAAATTTAATGCAAAGAATGTTTTTGGTTCAAATATAAATAATTTGAAATGTAAGTCATAATGGTCGTTACAATTGATTGATTAGAGAGATTGAGTAGATTTTCAACCACTTCTTACATTTTTAGTCATCCTTTTTAAGAAAACAAGACAGTAACATTCATGATAATAAAAATATTATGCATTTGAGTTTTTGTAATAATGGTGTTTTAAAAACAAATGGTAGCTAACGTTAGAAAATATCGAATTTGTCGAAGCATAAATGCCTAACTATTTTTTTTCCAGAAAAATATTGCCTGCATTACTACAAAATGCCTTATGACAATATTCCAGAATGGGTTAAAAAAATTTGCACCGTTTGACGAATATTAAATAGATTTCTTGGAAAAAAGGCGTTTGTTACAAAATCTGTAAAAAGACTATAAAGGATGGTTACCTATTTTTTAAAATGTATTTGAGAACCTTTAAAGGTCGACATCCGTTAATAGAAATTGGAAAAAAAAAGGAATGGGAACATACCTGAATGTATATCATTTGTGGGTAAATCCTATGACTTAATGTGTTAACATAGAATATTGCAAATCAATATTAAAACTTGTTTAGCTTATTCCTATAGATTAGGAGTGGAAAAAAATAGTGTTTTAGCTAGGAAGAAAAAAAAACAAATCTAAGGAATTAATGTTGAAGAAGGTGGGAATGAAACATTACAACCTGCTTCATTTCCAGTGCTAAGGAGTGAAAAGTTGATTCTAAGAACGTTTCATCTGAATCTCAAACTGTTTTTGATGTTTCTGTCTTTCCCAGAGATGATTCTCCAAATTTTGGTTTTCGTTTTGTCCTCAATAAATGATTTCTGATGTGCTAACGTTTTTGCGTTTATTCTTATTATGGGTTCTGAAAATATATATTAAGAGTGGTGGTAACGAAGCCCCCTGTATATTTATTCAGTAATAGTGGCTATTTTTAAGTCGGCCCAAAATTTATCGTATTTCATATTAGCAGTAAAGAAAGCTAGAAGGAGGTACGAGCAATATTAAAATTTAGCCTGCGTGGTATCAATTTCTAGAAAAGATTATAATATTAAAGCAACATGAAATGCTATATTGCTTGAAAAATGCTGCTACTCATAACATTGTTATCTGACCAACCCATTTGAAAACGTTTTACAATGAAAACGTTTAATAATAAAAAATATTTCAGGTAGTAAAATTGGTCATTGATATGTCATGGAAATAACATCTGATTGCAAACATCATGTTTCAAATTGTTTTGAATCAAATATAATTTTAGCTAAAAGATATTTGTATACTTATAATAAATACTATTCATAATATTCATCACAGTTTTCATAATTATAATTGATTTCAGATTATTGCCTTTCAGCTACTATGAAATTTTTGTGATAAAAGATTTTTCTAGCTATATTATCCTTTAATAATTCGTTTTTAGAGAGGATGTTGTATATTCTGAGTATATTCTATCACTAAGCATAAAAAATTAGAATTGTAAATTTAAAATAAATACAGTTATAACATCCTGAGCATTTCTAGACGTCATTAGAATTAGATGCTGTTAGAGAAATAAAGGACGAAAAAGAACAAGCTTTTGCAGATATATATTGATACTCCTGTGCTACTTCCACAAGCGTCTTTCGCGGAACAATCTTTATCTTTTTACTCTTTTATCGGCTACCGAAATTTTTACTTTGGTTTGATTAATAAGAATTTTGACCAATAAAGTACGTATTAAGAGAAAAAATTCTCATGAAGAACCATATAAATAATTGTTTTTCACGAAAAGTGTTTGAAAATAATTGTTGCTAACTCAATTGTTACCATTGCCATTTGTGCCTAGCGTCCTCTCAAAAACGCAATTCTTTTTTACAAAAAAGAAGAGTGGTTATACATTAGAATTATTTTTGCACATATAACACATATTCATGTTTGATTCTGCAGTAAAAGCTTTTTTTGAAGCTAAAATGTTTGGTAATAAAATAAAACTTTGCATAACCAAACACAATAAAAATAAGGAAACTAATATTTTTTTATCTGCATAAGTTTTGGATGGATCAGAACTGATGACATAATTTGAAAGCTTTTAAAAATGGTGTCTTTTTTATCCATGCAAAATTTTCATCAACCAAAACGATTTTTTTTTCAATTTTTAACCCCACTGTAATTTTAAAAGCATTCTTTATGAATAACGCAATACTTCAGCATGACTTGAAAATAAACAGTAAATATCTTAATGCTCCATCCTAACTTCTCCAGCTAGGTGTAATATCTCCACATCATTTCTAGAGAAACTCTAAAGATATAACACGGAAAAATCCGAAATAAAAACATGCATCGCGATCTCAACATAGATTTTTTAGATTATCATATTGCAAAGCAAAATTACAAGTTTTTTGAAAAGACCACAAATTGTATCACCGAAGGATTTGATGAAATTTTTACTTTTGAAAACTTGAGGGAAGGCATAAACCTGGAAACTTTATCTAAAATACAAAATATTTCATTTTCTTTTCACTCC